ACATCAGTAGAATTTTTTTTTGAAGGTGTAGTGTCACTGAAAGTTTTGATTAATTTCCCTCCAACCATGCGTACAGACAAACCTTCTTCGTCGACCGCATTAACAGTAGTTGTTTGTTTAGATTTGTCTTTATTCACGGATGGCTGTTTCTTATTTTTTGACTCAACTGGTTTGTCAATTTTTTTATTTGCAGACTTAGATGTCGTTGATGTTTTTATATCTGATTGGTCAGTTTTTYCTAATGYACTTGAAAATGATGATTGTTCATTAGTGATGGATGATGTTGACATAGTAATATCATTTGTAGAAATATCACTAGTTATATTATTACTTGATTTTGAAACTTCTTTAATATTTTTTTTTGAAGGTGTTGGCTGTTTGAAAGTCTTAATTAATTTTCCTCCAACCATGCGCACTGACAATCCTTCTTCATCTACATTTTCAACAGATTTATTTGATATAGATTTTTCTTTCTTGGAGTTTAAATTATTCTTATTATTTGTTTCATCTGATCTGTCTTTCTTATGTACAAAATTGGAAGATTCTAAATTAGACTGATCAGTTTCTCTAGTTGAGTTTGATACCGAAGTTTGTTCATTTGTAKTATACGATGTTGATGATGTAATATCACTAGATGAAATATCATATGTTGAAATATCACTTGATTTCGACGCATCAGTAATAATTTTTTTTGTCGGTGTWGGCTCTTTGAAGGTTTTAATAAGTTTTCCACCAACCATGCGTACAGACAATCCTTCGTCGACAATATCGACGGCAGTTAATGGTTTAGAAATGTCATTCTTTGACTCTAGCTGTCTCTTATTTTTTATTTCATCTGTTTTCTTATTTTCTGACTTGGATGTATTTGATGTTTTTATATCAGATTTTTCAGTTTCTTCAAATGAACTTGAAAACGAAGATTGCTCATTCGWGWTAAAWGAMGTTGATGWTGTGAAGTCACCAGATGAAATGTCACTAGATGAAATATTATTTGATTTAGAAACATCTAAACTATTTTTCTTGGTAGTTTTTGGYTCATTGAATGTTTTAATTAATTTTCCACCGACCATACGAACGTTCAATCCTTCTTCGTTGACATTATTAATAATTTGTTCAGATTTTTCTTTATTATTTTTGACTTCTCGCTGTTCCTTGTTTTTTAATTTATCTGATCGGTCTATTTTTTTATGTATAGAATTTGATACTTTTGAATTTGATTCGTCAGTTTCGACATATGAACTTGATAATGATGATTGTTCATTACTAATAAAGGATGTGGAAGTTGTAATATCACCAGACAAAATATCACTAGTTGATATAGTGCTGGATTTAGAAACATTAAAATTATTTTTATTGGATGGTGTTTGCTCGTTAAAAGTTTTGATTAGTTTTCCACCAACTACACGCGCTGTTAATCCTTCTTCGTCGACATTTTCAACAGACTTATTTGGTTGAGATTTTCCTTTATTAGTATCTAGTTCTTTTATGTGTTTTGTTTCATCTGGTCGATCTGCTGATTGATAGATGGTTTCGGAAGTTTTAAAATTTAATTGATCACTTTCTACAAATGAACTTGAAACTGAAGTTTGTTCGTTTGTTGAAAACGATGTTGAAGTTGTAATATTACTTGATGAAATATCACTAGATGAAATGTTACTTAAATTCGACACATCATTTCTATTTTTTTTTGAAGTTTTGGGTTCTTTAAAGGTCTTAATTAACTTTCCACCTACCATACGTACAGACGAACCTTCTTTGTCCACAATATCTACAGTAGTTATTGATTTAGACTTGTCTTTTATAACGTCTAACTGTTGTTTGTTATTTGACTCATCTAATTGGTCAGTTTTTTTATTTGCAGACTGAGATTTTTTAGATGTTTTTATATCAGATT